CCCCGAGCGGCTGCCGGTACCGCGCAGCGACGGTGCCCGGGCCTTGCAGCGCCGCCACAGCCCCCGCCGTGCCCGTGCCCCCCGGCCCCGCAGCGGGTGCCCGCTCCCCTCCCGCCGCAGCCCTCCCGTAGCCCGGATTTCACTCCCATGGCAAAGCCGGCCCTGCAGGAATTGGGTAAGTGGAGCTATTGCAACACAGCATTTTTCCATACATTTGCTATATAACTCGGAGGGTTTTAAAGATAGCATCAGTTGGCACACTTAGCACGAAACCACCTAATTACTGACGCCTTGGAAGTGCCAAACTTTTAAAGGGGGGAGGTGAGGTTAAAATCACAGGCGACCAACAAGTGTTACCTGTTTTTAAAGTATTCCAAGCGCTGTTCTCCACGGGAGACGGGACGTGGGGAGGGGGCGGCTCGGGGCAGAGCCATCCCCTCTGTCACCACTGCCACCACAGCGAGGGGCTGGCGGCTTCTGCAGCCCCCCCACCCCACCCCGCTCTGACCCTTTCCTTCCCACCAAACTCCACCGCCTGGCGCTGTGGTTTTCCCCGCACACAGCTCCCATCCCGTTTCCTGTGCCATCCCGGGCTGCGGGATGGGGTTTGCGGCCGGTCCTGGTCTCCAGCGGAGAAAAAAAGCCTCCCGGTAAGAGGCTGGCTCCGAGCAGCCCCGGGGGCGGCCGCAGGGTCAGGCACGGCGGGGGCGGAYTGTCCCCGCGCCCCCGCTCCTTCCCGGGGGGAATGATCCGGGCTGGAAGGGCTGGAGCCGCCGCCACCTGCGCTCCGCAGGGGGACGGCATCGCTGGGAACGGGGGATGCGGGGCACTGGCGGAGACCCCCGGTCCGGTGCGCTGTGCCCGCTGTCCGGTGCTCTGTGTACAGGGTGCCCTGYGCCCAATGCCCAGTGCAGAGTGTCCGGTGCAGGATGCGTGCCCGGTACTCGGTGACAAGCGCAGGATGCCCGGTGCCCCGTGCCCCGCTCAGGCTTCCCGATGCCCGGCGCCCATTCCCCAGTGCAGAGTGCCCAGTGCTTGGTGCAGGATGCCCGGTACCCCTTTTCCGGTGCGGGATGCCCGGTGCTTGGTGCAGGAAGCCCGATCCCCCTTTTCCGGTGCGGGATGCCCGGTACCCGGTACCCATTGCCCGGTGCAGGATGCCCGGTACCCGGTACCCCTTTCCTGACGCGAGATGCGCGGTGCCCCGTCCCCTTTGCCCGGCGTCCGGTGCCCTGTCCCCCTCGCTCTGTGCAGGACGCCCCGTTCCCGGTCCCTCTTGCCCGGTATCCGGTGCCCGGTTCCCCTTTGCCCGGTGCAGGGTCCCGGGTCCCCCTGTCCCGGTCCCCTGTCCCCCGTCCCCGCGCTCGCCGGCCCCGCTTCCTGCTCGCTCCAACGTTCCATTGTGCGGAGCTTCCATTGTGACGTCTCGGCCTCGGCTCGGCTTTGTCTGTCCATATATGGGCAGCTACGTCACGGAGCGCTCCCGCACAAAAAGGCCCCGCGGAGTCCCCGGCGGAGCAGTCGGGCGGCAGCGAAGGAACCGGCGAGCGGAGCGGGGCCGA